CTCCCCCCTCCCGGGAACTGAAATCCCATGGCAGCCATTTCCCTTCCTGGGCCCCAGCTTCCTCAGCTGAAAGGTTGACAGTGGAACGGGGTGGCCCTTGGGGACCCAGAGCCCTCTTCCGCCATGCTCTCCCGTCTCTGCCTCTCCAGGCGTCAAGATCATCTTCCGAGTGGCCCTGGTGTTGCTGCGGCATACACTGGGGTCTGTGGATAAGCTGCGTGCCTGCCAAGGCATGTACGAGACCATGGAGCAGCTGCGGAACCTGCCTCAGCAATGCATGCAGGAGGACTTCCTCGTGCATGAGGTGGGCCCACACTTCAGCGTCCTCCAAGCCCGCCCTGTCTTCTCAGCTCCTCCCTACCCCTCCTCTTCACCCCTGCCTGTCCCTGCTCCAGGTGACCAACCTCCCGGTGACAGAGGCATTGATCGAAAGGGAAAACACCGCTCAGCTCAAGAAGTGGCAGGAAACCCGAGGGGAGCTGCAGTGCCGGCCCTCGAGGCGCCTCCACGGCTCCCGGGCCATCCACGAGGAGCGCAGGCGGCAGCAGCCACCCCTGGGCCCCTCCTCCAGCCTCCTCAGCCTCCCAGGCCTGAAGACCAGAGGCTCCCGGGCAGGCGGGGCTCCCTCTCCGCCCCCTCCTGCCCGAAGGGCCAGTGTCGGTCCCGCCCCGGGGCCTGTGGTCACTGCTGAGGGACTCCGTCCATCCCTTCCTTCGCCTACTGGCAACAGCACCCCATTGGGGCCCAGCAAGGAGACACGGAGGCAGGAGAAGGAGCGGCAGAAGCAGGAGAGGGAGCAGGAGAAAGAGCGGCAGAAGCAGCAGAAGGAGCGGCAGAAGTGGGAGAAGGAGCGGCAGAAGCGGGAGAAGGAGCAGGAGAAGGAGCGGCAGAAGCAGGAAAAGAAGGCCCAGGGCCGGAAGCTCTCGCTGCAGCGCAAGGCAGACGGGGTCCCCGCGCCCCAGGATGGCGGGGACAGGTCCTCGGCCGCAGAGGCCCGGCAAGATGCCTACTTCTGACCTCTGCGCTGGGGCTGAACTGCATGGACCCCTTCCCCTCAGCCAAGGAGCAGGCCTGGCCTGGGCTGCTGCCCCAGCCCCCTCGAGGGGCCGAGGGGCCGTCCCCTCAGAGCAAAGTGGCTTGATATCCATCTCCTCGCCACCCGCTGCTCCCAGAGGGGCCACGCTGTGACCTTGCCTGGGGCAGTTGCAGGTCCCTGAGGCAGTCAGAGCAGATCTGGAGACCATCACCTCCAGATGGACCCAGCCGTGGGTCTTACATACTCCTGCCTGCCAGCTCCCTCTGGGGTCCCCGCCCCGGTGCTGCCCTGGCTGACTTGGTGAAGGGGAGTCAGCAGTTTTCAGATTATTACACTCCAGTGGCTTCCCTTCCCTGTGGGGGGCGGGGGGGTGCTGGGTTCCTGTTCCCTCCTTAGGCCTGCCTGTCATGTCCCCTCAACTGCTCCCCACTGCTCTGCCCCACTCCCTGGCTGGGGCCAGGCTACCCTGCACTCTCCTTCTGGACCTTGCTGTGGCAGTTCTGTACAGAGGACGCATCTTCTGTGCGTTAGGTCTCCTGCCACAAGGCCCACACCTCCGTGTATTTAAGGGACACGCACTGGAACGGGTACTGCCCCCCACTTCCCAGCCCACTGCCCTCGGGCACTCGCTCTTCACCGCTTCCCTCCTCCATGTTCTCAGGCTTCCTCTGCTTTGTCTCACCGGGCCCGCCTTTCACCTCAACTCCTTCCAGCCCTACAAGTCCCCATCACAGGGGTCTCCCCTCTGAGGCCCGGGGTGGGGGTGGGGAACCCTATGTTTACATTCTCTTCTGTCCCTGCCCCCGCCCATGCGTGTGGCACTTTGAGGAACCAGAAAAGAACCTGCTGTTGAACCTGGGCCTGTCTCCCGTCTGCCTCGTTCTTTGCGGAGGGAGCCTGGGGTGATGGCCAGAGGGAGAGGGGCAAGCGACAACCTGGGTCCCCACCTCTTGGCCTTGGGTCCCTGTCTGTCAGTCAACACGCTGGTTGTGCCATCTGTGATCACTGGTCTGGGGTCACCTGCACTTGCCAGAAACCTGATGGCACCGAGGAAGCCCCAGTCCTCTGAGGGTCAGCTGGTGGTGTACCAGCATAGCCAGCTGACTCCAGCTCATGCTGGCCAGTGCCCTAGAGAAGACCCTTAGCTTATAGACATGTCCACCCTCCATTCCTCCCCTCTCTCCATGGGTCAGTGTATTGATGGAGGATTCCATTGGCTCTTAGCAGCTCTCTGTGAGGAGGCTGGCTTAGGGGTGTGCTGCCTGCCTGGTACACACACACACATACCACCACTCCAGCTGCTCTGAAGGGGAGTGATGAGGTGTTCTGTTGCTGTAAAGCAGCGACCCTTTCGCACGGTCGCCCTATTCATAATGTTAGATCTCTTGGCTCCGCGCGAGAAAGAGTTCACGCCAAAGCCTGGTTTGTGACCCCAGTGGGTTTACAGAGAATCGTAGCAGTTTCAGGTTGTACAGTGAGTGGAATCCAGGCCAGACAGCCCGCAGCACAGTTGCTGGACTGCGGCCTGGCCGCTCCAGACCACAGCATGGCTGTGCTGCGTTGTGGAGAGCTGCTGGGAGCTCCAGAGCAAAACCTATGACCCTTTCAGGGGACTGGCCGACCCTGTTGGCTGAATCAATTTCACTTGGCTTAGATGGGCCAGTGCAAGTGTAACGCCCACCTAGGTGTACCACCCCTTCTTGGCCAGAAGCTCAAACCTCTGAGCGTGCGTAATAGACGCCCCAGTCCTTAGACTAGCTACCTAACAATAACAGTAGCAAAATTAGTTACGAAGGAGCAACGAAAATAATTTTATGGCTGGGGGGGGGGGTGTCACCAAAACATGAACTGTATTAAAGGGTTGCGGCATTAGGAAGGTTGAGAACCACTGTTGTGAAGATTTCGGCCACGAAAACCCACAGGTTCTACTCAGAATCAATTTGATGACATTGAGTTTAACCTGTTTTCTCTGCAAGTCACCTTGCACTCTGTACCCAGGGCAGAAACAGCCCTGCCTTGTGGTGTGGGGCTATGGCAGTTCACCTGAGAACGAGAGGAGACCACTGCCCCGGGAACCCCTTGCTGGTGTCCTCTGGCCTGGTGGGAGTAAAGCTCCTGAGTTGCCCAAGGCTAGGGCTCTGTCCCCTACATAACTGGGCTCCAGCCCCAACCCCAGGCCCTGCTGGGGGGACAACTTCCAGCAACACCCTGGCTGGGCCTTGGTTGCCAGGCAGCTTTATTCCACACCTGCCCCTTTCCAGGTGAGGCCACTTCTCGGGTACCGTTCCTAGAAGCCAGGAGCTCGCCCTGGGGGTAGGCGGGAGTACAAAGACGTGGGTCGCTCGGGCCCTAAAGAGAACTGGAGGGTGTTGGCTGGAGATCAGAGAGCGGTCCGGGCCCGCCAGGCGGGCCCCTAAGAAGCCGAGAAGACTTTCCTGGAGGAAGAGGAAACGATGAAGCAAGCCAGCCAACGGGTGGCTGGGAGGGGGCAGGGACGACTTCTCCGAGGGGCTTAGAGCCCTAACTGGCCCTGGGGCGCGGGGAACGAGGCCTGGTGGGCCTTTGCTCCTTCAAGCCGACCCTAGGTAGAGGGCACCCCACTTCCTCCCTAGGGTTCTGCTGCAGTCGGCGAGAGCCAGCCCCACTCCCGGACTTCCTGCCGCCCCCTGGCCGCGCCGGATGAGGGCCTGCGCGTCCCAGCTTCCCCTCTTCTACGCGCGCTCACGTCACTCGGGGAGGCGCCGTCCCTCGCTCGCAGCGCACTTCCGCCCGCGGTTTTGAGCGGCTAACCGGAGTGACGTCACTTCCGGCCGTCCTGGCGTCTTCAGCGGTCCTCTTCCGGGTGATGGCGGCCGGGTGCCCCGGATGTAGCCCCGGGCGAGAGCAGCTTCTCTGTTTTCCTCCCGCCTCCCTTCAAGCCCCAGGTGAGCGCGCGCTGGCGTGACCTCTCCCGGCGCCCCCCCGAGCCCCGGACAGTTGAGGGGTGCCCCGTGGCGCTGGGATTTCGGGCTCGAGGAGGAACGGGGCGGCCTGGGCCCCGCGGGGGCGGGGGACGCTAAGGGGCTAGGTGTCAGCCCGGACTGCGGGGATGGGGTGGTCGCGGGGGAGGGCCTGGGTCCCGCCCAGGTGGGGCGTCCCCCCCGGGGTGGTGCTCCACGTGCCTGGAGAAAAGGTTGCGCCGGGCTGGGTCGGGGCCGTTCTCGCGATGATTCCCTCCTCGCCCACCCAGCTCCCTGACTCCAGCACAGCTTGGGGAAGCCTCCGCCGCCCTGTCATGCCCAAAAGGAAAGTGAGCTTCCAGGGCGTGGGAGATGAGGATGAAGAGAGCGAAGTCAGTGTCCCCAAGAAGGTGAGGGGGCCCGGCTGCCTGTGCTCTGGGAGGAGCGAGGGCGGCCGGAAGGAGCTAGAAGCAGCCGAGAAAGTTGAATGGGGAATGGGTGTGCAGCATCTTCACTTTGGGACTGTGGCGGGGGGAGTGGCCATTAAGTCGCCCCCCTCTCCCCCATTTCTTGACCTGTTGGCACTGGTGCCTAGCTGGTGGACCATGTAGCCGGAGCAGGAGGTCCTGGCAGCCGCTTCAAAGGGAAACACTCTTTGGACAGTGACGAGGAAGATGAGGAGGAGGAGGGCTCCAGCAAGTATGACATCCTGGCTTCAGAGGATGTGGAGGGTGAGTGAGCCCTGAGCTGTGGGAACAGGGAGGTCGCTGCCCCTGTGTTGTTTCGCCTGCCCCTTTCTGAGGGGCTAGCGCAGAGCACGCATGTCTTCTCTGTAGGTCAGGAGGCAGCTACACTCCCCAGCGAGGGAGGCGTGCGGATCACACCCTTCAACCTGCAGGAAGAGATGGAGGAAGGCCACTTTGATGCTGATGGCAACTACTTCTTAAACAGGGAAGCCGAGATTCGAGACAGCTGGCTGGACAACATTGACTGGGTGTGGCCCTAATGACTGGCACGGCTGGGGTCTGGGGGCAGAGAGGGTGTGTGCCAGACTGTTTGTAATCCACGGGGAACCATGATTCTGCCTACCTACTTGCAGGTGAAGATCAGAGAACGACCACCTGATCAGCGTCAGGCCTCCGACTCGGATGAGGAGGGCCTGGGCCAGACCCCCATGAGTGCCCAGGCCCTCCTGGAGGGCCTTCTGGAGCTACTCTTGCCCAGAGAGACCGTGGCTGGGGCACTGAGGCGTCTGGGGGCCCGAGGAGGAAGCCAAGGGGACAGCAAAGGGCCAGGGCGGCCCAGCTCCCCTCAGCGCCTAGACCGGCTCTCGGGGCTGGCTGACCAGATGGTGGCTCGGGGCAACCTCGGGGTGTACCAGGAGACTCGGGAACGGTTGGCCATGCGGCTGAAGGGGTTGGGGTCCCGGACCCAGGGATCCCATGACCCCGCTCCCCCACCCTCTCTGGACATGTTTGCTGAGGAGTTGCCCAAGGGAGAGCTGGAGAAGCCCACCCCCGCCCGCGGAGGTAGGCTTGGAGAGCAGAAGAGGAGTGTTGTGGGTGGGGCAGCTCGAGCCCTAATGTCCGTGCCTCTGTCCTGTAGAAGCAGAGTCGTCAGGGGATGGTCTAGTGGATGTGATGTGGGAGTATAAATGGGAGAACACCGGGGATGCTGAGCTCTATGGGCCCTTTACCAGCGCCCAGATGCAGGTAAGTCCCCTTCTACCTCATGTGGCCTTGTCGCTCCCCTCCCCGGACTTGGACTTTCGCAGTTGTCCCAGCTCTCCCTTTCCCCACAGACCTGGGTGGACGAAGGCTACTTCGCGGATGGTGTTTACTGCCGGAAGCTGGACCCCCCCGGCGGTCAGTTCTACAACTCTAAACGCATTGACTTTGACCTCTACACCTGAACCTGCTGAAGACCCTGTTGAACGGCCCCTTCTTTCCCGGACTCTGTGGAGGAGGCCCCAGCTGCCTCAGGCCATGAGGACATTGGGGGGCCACTTCTCAAATCGACTTCCCTTTCCCAATAAAAGCCTTTAACTGTGGATCAGGGCCGTGGCTATGCTGGGACGGGAAGCTGTGGGCCTTCCCCACCCACACCTGCTTGGCACCTGGCCCTGCTCTTGGAGCGTCTCTCGTGAAGTTGCTCCAGGGCAGTTTCTTTCTGGTCTAGAGCCTGCCTTTGGCACACTGATCTCAGGGACCGCAACTGGGGCCTGACACTGCCCTGCGGTCTCACCACGTGCCTTCGGCACACCAGCAGAAAGTCTCTCAGTCCATTTTCTGGTCTCTTTGGGGCATCCCGTTTTGCATTCTTAAGTCGCCATCCTTTAGCACCTCCGGTTTTCAGTCATTAAAGCCACCAGGGAATGAAGGGAATACTTCAGACTTGGATGAGCTGGAAGATTTGGGAATGAGCAGGAAGCCTTGTCACTGGCTCCCCCTTGCCTCCAGGTGCTTAGAAGTCACTCCGAACAAAGGTGAATGAACCAAGGTCATCCAAGACCCCAAGAAGATGCTGAGAGCCAGTACCTTCCCCTAGTCTGGTCTTCTCTCCGCCTAGTCTGGTCTTCTCTCCGCCTAGTCTGGTCTTCTCTCCCCCTAGTCTGGTTTCTCTCCCCCTAGTCTGGTCTTCTCTCCCCCTAGTCTGGTCTTCTCTCCCCCTAGTCTGGTCTTCTCTCCCCCTAGTCTGGTCTTCTCTCCACCTAGTCTGGT